CCCCCGCATCCCTCCATTTCAGCGTTCACGCGGGGCGCCGGGCGACCCGATTTTCCGCCGTCGGCCGCGGCTGACTCAACACTGAGATCGGGAGTCCAGGGGGGTGGGAGCAGGAAAGGGAATCCATAATTACTTTTGCATCACTTTCCCACGGGGGCGTGGGGCCATCAAAAAGCGAACCAGGATGAAACACCGGTCCAAGGTCGGGCGGGTGGTAATGGGGTGTGGCCCAAATGAGGGGTGGAGGAGAATGGCCCCCCAGGGGCCCTTTCGGGCCTCTCATGCGTCCCAAAGGGGCCCTAAATGGCCCCTCCAGGACCTTTTTCTCTTTCCCCCCCCTTTAGGTCACCCCCCATGACCACCCACCCGATCCAGGAGGCCTCCATTTAGATCGCCCCCAACGCGCTCTGAGTGGGTCCTGTAGAGCCTTTTATGTCAGCGCCCATGCACGCCACCCCAGGGGCGTCGCGCTGCACAACCCAAGAATGCAGCCCGCCCCGAGGGTAACCTAAGAGACTGGCCAGCGAAACTTGCCAGGAAGTGGGCCGATGGGGCAAGGACGCAAGGGTAACCTTCGAAAGCTGCGTAATCCTACTATAGGGGAATGGACTCTATACACCAACGATTTTTTCTGGCCCTGCGCTGACACTTGCACAAGACAGCGGATCCTGGTATACGGAATTCTGGTGTATACATGTTTCGTTGCTTCCCCCAGAAAACGTGGAAACAAGCATACACCACACTGCCCCGACGTCGTCCCCGACCCTCAACAAGTCCTGGGATCGAGAAACGGCCCGCCACTGTTAATGTAGATGCTCCAGTTTCTGACCAAAGGTCATCTTCGACAGTTGCGCATCCTTACTATGCGGGTCGACGGTACCACCCTCGGCGACTCCGAAGGGTGTGGTTTGCAAGGTGCGTGTGTGTGTGTGTGTGTGTGTGTGTGTGTGTGTGTGTGTGTATGTGTGTGTGTGTGTGTGTGTGTGTGTGTGTGCGTGCGTGCGTGCGTGCGTGCGTGCGTGCGTGCGTGCGTGCGTGCGTGCGTGTGTGTGGTTTGCAACCGGCGCCCTGGGGGGGCACCCTGGGGGGCGGGCGGGGACCTGGACAGAGCTCTCCGCCGCGCCCAACGAGGACAGCGTCGTGCTTCCCAGGCCCCAGCTGTGCCGCTCGCAGACGACACCCCGGCGTAACCATACTCCGAACTACTTATTAATCAACTCAGGGGTGACAAACGTGAAAACGCGGCGCGGCCAACCCCCCCCCCGGCACCACCCCCCGCGCCCCAGCGGGGAAGGGAACGAACCCCAGACCCCCCCTGGCACCCCCGCGGACGCGCCGCGGCCAAGCCCCCCTGGCACTCCAAGGGGGGGAGCAGTTTGATATTGGCAGGCTGTGGCGCGATTTGTCGATCCGCCGACTGGCCTGAATCCTGCAGCCCGCGGGCGCAGCCAACCAACACTGACTCGGGGGCAGGGGGGCGCGTGGAAATTTGCGCCGTCGCCCCGGTTGCGCGGCTGGTGCAGGATTCTGTCCATCAACCGTACCCTTCGCCCGACAGGGGGAGGGAGGAGGGAGGATGGAGGGGGATGAGGTGGAGGGAGGAGGGGATGTAGGAGGAGGGAGGAGGGAGGAGGAGGAGGGAGAGGGAGGGAGTGAGGGAAGGGAGGGAGGAGGGAGGAGGGAGGGGGATGGGGAGGGAGGGATGGGGGGGAGGGGATGGGAGGGATGGAGGGATGGGGGGAGGAGGGAGGGGGAGGGAGGGAGGGAGGGAGGAGGGAGGGGAGGAGGAGGAGGAGGAGGAGGAGGAGGAGGAGGAGGAGAAGGAGGCGATGCATCGAGACCCCCCGGGGGTCCCCGGCGGGATCAGAGCGCGCCGTCGGGGGCGAGGGGCCCCCCTCCTCCCTGCAGAGGGCGCGCGCCCCGCCGCCCCTCTCCCGCTGCGGCTGCCGTGCCAGGGCGAGGCGGCGGCCCCAGGCAGATCAGGCCACGGGCAACTGCCCCGAGGCCGCGTCTCGCCTGTGCCTCCGTCCCTCCTCCTCCTCCTCCTCTCCTCCTCCTCCTCCTCCTCCGCCTCCGCTCCTCCTCCTCCTCCTCCCTCCTCCTCATCCGCCTCCGCCTCCTCTCTCCTGTCCTCTCCCTCTCCTCCTCCGGGTCCTTCTCCTCCTCCGTCCTCCTCCGTCTCCTCCGTGCTCCTCCCTCTCCGACGCAACTCCATGCTCTCCTCCATTGCTCCTCTCCTCCGTCCTCCTCCGTCCTCCTCCGTCTTCCTCCTCCGCTCCTCCTCCTCATTCCGTCCTCCTCTCCTCCTCCTCCTCTCCTCCTCCTCGTCTCCTCCCGTCCCTCTATCTCCTCTCCTCCTCCTCCCGCCTCCGCCTCCTCCCTCCTCTGCTCCTCCCTTACCTCTCATCACCGTCCTCCTCCTCCGTCCTTCTCCTCCTCCGTCCTCCTCCGTCCTCCTCCTCCTCCGCCTCCTCCATGCTCCTCCTCCATGCTCCTCCTCCTCCGTCCTCCCCCGTCCTCCTCCGTCTTCCTCCGTCCTCCTCCTCATCCGTCCTCCTCCTCCTCCTCCTCCTCCTCCTCCTCCTCCTCCTCCTCCGTCCTCCGTCCTCCTCCTTCCTTCCTTCGGGACGGGGAGGCGACCTTCGAGAGGGGGGTGGGTGGGCGGAGGCCTCTTGGCCGGGGAGGGGCGGGCGAGCACGGCCGGCCCCGCGGGCGCCAGGCCCCCGGGCGGCCCCCGGAGGCGCCCCGAGGCCGCCACGAGCCAGGAGGGCCCACGGCGGGCCACGCGAGCCCTGCTCTCGGAGTGCAGTCGGCCTCGATCGGAGAGGACACGCGAGAGGACACGAGACCCTTCCAAAGGACACGCGGACGAGAGGACACCCGAGAGGACGAGAGGACACGCGAGAGGACACGCGAGAGGACGAGAGGACACGCGAGAGGACGAGAGGACACGCGAGAGGACACGCGAGAGGACACGAGACCAGACACGCGAGAGGACACGCGAGAGGACGAGAGGACACGCGAGAGGACGCCATAGGAGCGGAAGAAGGCACGCGTCGCGAGGCACAGGACTCAGGGGCACCCTTGAGCTGGCAGGGTCGACCTACTAATCCGGGCCGACTGTACCATGTGGGCGACGATCGAAAGCGGGTCTTGCGCGAGATGACGTCGAGACCTCACGCGGCGGCTTGCGCGGGCAGCCAGCGCGGCGCGTTACATTGGGAGCGAGGGCGCTTATGCGCGACCTTACGCGGGCAGCTTACGCGCCAATGTCGGCGCAGACGACCCCGTTTTTTTGAGTCGCTCAAGTGTTCTTGGAATACCGTGTGGGACCAGCTCTAGAACAGGAACATATCGTAGACGGATCTACCCTTTCTCCGACCCTGCCCCGCGCCGACAGCAGCGGCCAAGTTGTCCATAGACGTATCCACCCTGGAGATGTCTGTGGACGTCACGGCACCCAATGTGTCCATAGAGGCTTTTGGTTAGGACGTGAGAACGGTATTTGGCATCGGCCCCGGATCTTGGTCTCCTCGAAGCAGGTAGGCTCGGCCCTCCAAGACTCTTCCATTCCATTCCCTCTCTCGCCTCCCGCTCTTCTGTGCTGCCAGGGAGGAACCCGATCACTTCGGCGTGAACTTGGCCCTCGGGTCGCTCCGAGAACGTCGGGGAACTTCCCGAGGAGCCCGGCGCGTGAAACCCACCCGCTCCTCCCTGTCTGCGCGAGCCCATCGGCTGAGCCCCTCACGCGCAAGCGAGATGGGGGAGGGCGTCTGGCATCCGCGTGGCACCCATTAGGTCCTGCGGAGCCGTGCTCGCAACAAGTCCTGGGCCACAGCCCATACCAAAACACACCCTGCCTCATTCATGCTCCCTGCTGGCCCAAGGCTTTCTGGAGGTCTAGGATCGGCGGCCTGACGTCGTTCCCAGTGGCCTGGATAAGCTCGTGCCTCTCTGGGCCCCGCTCTCCTTGATGCGCCGAAACCCATCGGCAGAGGTTGCGCGGCGGGCCCTCGGCGTCGGACGCGCGTGAAAGGACGTGGTGAGGGACCAGCCCTCCATGCACCGGCTGGCTCCCTGGGCACCTCTCGCGCTTTTCTGGGGCCTGGCCTGCTCTCTCGCCGTGCTGCCTCTGGCGGCTGCCGTTCTTTTTCCTGGCGCCGCTGCTGTTGCTGCTGCTCTCGGACGTGCTGCGTACCCTCAATGCCTCGTGGAGAAGGGGTGAGAAGCTCTCCCTGGAAGCCGGAAGCCCCCACACCTCGAGTCAGAGCAGACGGGGCCGCAGGAGCGTGACGCATCGCCGATGCGTCGGCAGCGCTGGGATGGAGAAGGTCGAGCTCCTGGTAGAGCTGCATCGTCGACGCATCGGCGGTGCAGCGCGACCTCCAGTCCAAGCCCCCCTCCTTGCCATCGCCCGGACGCCCCTTCCCCGTGCATGTTTCGATTCCGTTTTTTGTTGTTGTTGTTGTTGTTGTTGTTGTTGTTGTTGTTGTTGTTGTTGTTTTTTTTTCCCCCCTTTTTTTCTTGTTCGGGGGGCTAGATGATCCAGGATGCTCCTCGATGATTCTCGCCGAGAAACAATGCACACGTCCAAGCGATGCCAAGCGTCTACTCTCATGTGGGGCATATCCCTCTACAGCAGGAAGATCCAAAAGTAGTCGACAACTAGCCTGGGGACGAGTTTTGGATGATCTTTGACTACTTTGGACCTGTTTTGACTATTTCTACATACGTTTTCGCCCAAACTTCGCCTGTAGGAGAACACGCCCGACCTGAATCTGCTCCTACCCCCTTCGGCGGGCCCACCTGCCCGTTCAGGGGGCCACGACCCTCAACAGAGGCCCGTCTTGAGGGGTTCGACAATGATTCCACCGTCATCGTGCAACCGCCGCGCAAAATTTGACAGCGCTGGGCTGCCCCGAAGGGTTGGACGGTGCCCGCCAAGAGAAAGCGACAACGGAATCTTGGACCCGACGGTCACCCCAGTCCCGCAGCGGCGCCTCCGCGAGCTGCTCCAGCCGGGCCGGCCAGGCGGCGCCCTCGCAGAGCCAGGCGGGCGGGCCGATGTAGAACTCCTCGCCGACGGGCGGCGATGTCGCCGCCGTCGTCTTCATCCTGGTCGTGGTGGCCGTCGTCGGCGTCCTCCTCCTCCTTCTCCTCCTCCTCCTCCTCCTCCTCCTCCTCCTCCTCCTCCTCCTCCTCCTCCCCCTCCTCCTCCTCCTCCTCCTCCTCCTCCTCCTCCTCCTCCTCCTCTTCCTCCTCCTCCTCCTCCTCCTCCTCCTCCTCCTCCTCCTCCTCCTCCTCCTCCTCCTCCTCCTCCTCCTCCTCCTCCTCCTCCTCCCCTCCTCCTGTTCACTCCAGCTTGGTTTCTGGCCATCTCTCGGACGTCCAGTCCCCGTGCGTCGTTTCGGTTTCGTGCGCTTTGATTTTCCGAAGAGTGGTCCAAGATGCTCCTCGATGGTCCTCGCCGCGAAAAAATGCACACGTCCGAGCGATGCCAAGAATTTTGGTTTCGTGCGTTGCTTTTTCGCAAAGTGGTCCAAGATGCTCCTCCATGGCCATCGCCGCGAACAAATGCACACGTCCGAGCGATGCCAAGGATCTGAGTCAACCGAATTTTCAGCCTGCACCCGAAATTCCTACGTCTCTTCCTGCCGCTGCTCGTCCTCTCTTCGTCGCCCGTTGGCGCTGCTGGTGCTCCTGCTGCTCTTCTCGCTCCTCCCTGGTCCTGCTCCCGCTCCTGCCCCGCATCCCGTTCCTGACGCCCATCCGTGAGCCCCGCGTCATTTCCACATTAGCCTCTGCGTCCTCCCCCGCCCTGGAGGAGGAGGAGGAGGAGGAGGAGGAGGAGGAGGAGGAGGAGGAGGAGGAGGAGGAGGAGGAGGAGGAGGAGGAGGAGGAGGGAGGAGGAGGAGGAGGACGAGGAGGGCCTCCCGAAGGCGTATCAGCCCTCCCCCGCCCTGGAGGGCTCACTGATGATGAGGGGGTGAGGGGGAGGGGAAAGAGGGGAAGGACGGGCAAATTGGCGGCGCGCACCTGGGGGTTATGGGGTGGGGGGAAGGCTTCTTAGAAGGAGGCTGCTTCTCAGAAGGCGCCGGCCCTACATCTATAGACAAGGCCCGCGCCGTTTGAGAAGCAGGGGTGCTTCTGAAAAGCCTTCCCCCCTCAACCAACCCCCAACTGCGCGTGGCCGAGCAAAGGGAGAGGGAGAGAGTGGGAGGTGGCGGGGGACGACGCCAGAAAGAGGAACAGAAGGAGGTACATGAGGAGGAGGAGGAGGAGGAGGAGGAGGAGGAGGAGGAGGAGGAGGAGGAGGAGGAGAAGAAGGAGGAGGAGGAGGAGGAACATGAGGAGGAGGAGGAGGAGGAGGAGGAGGAGGAGGAGGAGGAGGATAACGAGGAGGACGCCACGAAAGAGACGAAGATGGCAACCGCCAGCGACGGGCGGCGACGGGGCGGCGATGGCGGCAACACCGCCGCCAGAGCGGCAGACTGGCTCGATCCCGTAGCACGGCTTGGGGAGAGCGCTGCCCGGGGAACAGAGCGGCAAGAAAGGACGCCGCTGTGGACCGGCTTCCGGGAGATCGGGGAGGGACAGACCTCCCTTTAGTAAAACGTGGTTTAGTGAAACCGACCTCGGGCCAAAACCTGGCGGGCGCAAGCCTGGAAAATGACGGCCGCGGCGCCCTCTAGAGAGCCGAAAACGGACAATTCACTAATCAACGTGTCACTGTTGGGGGTTCTGTCCGCCCCCGATTCAGGGAGACCGCGACGCGGCGTCCGGCTTCCGGGAGACCACCACGGGCGACCACTCCGGCGGGAGCGAGCGGCGGAAGGAAACTCCACGGGACGCACAGAGACATGCTGATACCACGTGTCCTCCTCGGAGGCGCGCGCCCGAACGAAGGATTGAGCATCTTCTTTGGGTGGAGGCCAAGGGTGAGATCTGAAATGCCGTTCCGATGGGTTTTCGAGGCTTGAATCTGCAGAAGGCGAGCATCAGAACGGATTGATTTTCGAGGTGCAGAAGGCCACATGGATTTCAGCCTGAGCCCTCCACCCGGAGAAAATGCTCAGGAAGGAGGTGGGGATGAGGGACGAAAGGGGAGGAAAGAAATGACAGGCAGGGGGGAAGGAGAAGGAACGCACAGGACTGCTGCCAACAGCAGCGGGAAGCCCCCCGGATCGGCGGCACTGGCCGGAGGCCAGCACAATACCAGATGCCCTCCTCGGGGGCGCGCGCCCGACCCGAACCTACAGCGTACCCATCTTGCAGTTGTCCAGGAAGCGCCCGCCGCGACGCATATTCCAGAAGATTTCTCGGTGCGCGCGTCGCCCCCTGGGGGGGGGGGGCGACGCACACATACGTAGTATTAGTATTGAGTCGGGCCTGACCCCCTACAGGCCGATTTTGGACGACAAATTCAAAATACCCCCCAAATGCACTAAACATATTCAAACATGGTCCAAAAAATAGTCCCCAGACTATTTTTTGACGATTTTTTGAATCCGCCGACCCTGTCGGCGTGTGCGAGGGGCTTCCTCGTCCGAATCGTCTTCGTTGTTCGGATTGACATCGTTGTGTTTTCGTTGTTCGGATCGTCATCGTTGTCCATGCCGTTGTAGATTCGAAGGGAAGTCCCTTCCCTTTGATCCCTTCCCCCGGGGGGGGGTCCCGGGGGTCCCGGGGGGGGTGGAGGGGGGGGGTCCCGGGAGGGGTGGAGGGGGGGTCGGGGGGGGTGGGAGGGGGGGTGGGGGGGCAGATTCGTTATTCCTCGGGCGGCCCAGAAACCTCGACAACACTCCAAATGAGGTCCGAATGCCCAAGATGGCCCCCGAGACGGCCCAAGGGGGCCCCGAGTCGCCCAAAGATCGGCCGAAAACGCCCAAGATAGCCCCAAGACCGTCCAAGAAGCCTCCAAGACGTCCCGGGCCCCCTCCAAGAGACCCCCAGGAAGCCCCACGAGGCCCCCACGAGGCTTCCAAGCGGCCCCTAAGAGCTTCCCAAGAGGCCCACCAACTACCCCCAAGAGGCCCCCAAGAGCGCTCGTCGTCGTCGTCGTCGTCGTCGCCATTCAGGGTCGGCGGCACCGGCCGTAAGGCCTTCGCAATATTCCCCCTGTGGAGGGACGGGCCCGACTTGGCAGTGGCATGTTGGGGGTGACGCCGAATCTGCACCTTGGGCCAGGGCTGGTCCTGTGACATCGGGAGCGGCCAAGAGGGGGGTGCCCAAGGGGTGGGTGGGTGCAACTCATGACCGGCGGCCTGTGCGCGGCCCAGCGGGGGGGCCAGGGACGTAATGTAATGAAATAAGAAGAGGCGCCATCAAATCTGGGGAAATATCATGGGCCCCGCCATGATATCCCCCCTCCCCTAGTCATCACCCTCCTTCTTTTCCGCCCCCGAGTGACAGGCTGGCTCCCCCGCGTCTCGCGCGGCGCCCGGAGCTGGCGCCCGCGGGGGCGCGGCGAGTGGCAGGGGCGGAGGGGCCCGAGGAGCTCCGCGCTGCTCCTGGGCAGGCCTCGCTTGAAGTCGGGCCTGTCCCCCTACAGGGGGATTTTCGACGAACAAAAAAAAATACTCAAAAAACGTACGCCCGAATGGTCAAAACATAGCAACAAATGGTCCCCGGACTACTTTTTGACTATTGCTGAATATTCCCCCCTGTAGAGGGACAGGCCCGACTTAAGCCTTGCTGCCCGGCGAAGGGGGGGAGAGGAGGGGAGAAGCAGGCGGGTGACGACGAAGCAGGCATCTGACCGCGATCTCTCGGTGAGGCGAGGCCAGGACGAGGATAAGTTCGGGCGGGGATACGTCGAGAACCTCTGGGCTCCAGCGGCTCTGGAGGATGGATCGAGCGCCGCGGCCGTCTCAGAGCGTGCTGGAACGCTCTGAGAGCGTCATGTTGCCTCCATTGTTATTAAGGACCACATCCCAGAAATAATCTCGAGCACCCAGGGAAGTATCGAAACGGTGCCGAACGAGTATCGCCTCCTGGGGCCCGACACGCGAACCCCCCCCAGTTCCGGTACTTGCTTGATGCTCGAAGTTCTTTCTGGTGAGTGGCTGGCAGTGACAGGGGCACTGCGGCGTGACCGCCCAAGGCCAGGTGGCCAGGCGGAGGAGGAGGAGGAGGAGGAGGAGGAGGAGGAGGAGGAGGAGGAGGAGGAGGAGGAGGAGGAGGAGGAGGAGGGGGAGGGGGAGGAGGAGGAGGAGGAGGAGGGGGGGCTGGGAGAGGAGGGGCGGGAGGCGGCGGGCGAAGCGTCCCAGGCGCCCGCAGGCGGCGGGGCGGGGAGCAGCAGCGCAGGGAGGGGGAAGCGCGCGGGGCAGCCAGAGGGAAGTGGCAGCGCAGCCGGGGAGGGCAGGCAGAGAGAGAGGGGGGGAGAGGAACATCATCACGAGAGCGTTCCGGAAGGCTCTGGAGCCGAATTCTCCTCGTCCTGGCCTCGTCTGACTCGGGCCCCCCCTCCCCTCTCCGGTTCCCTCGTGCCGCGGCCTGTCTGCGGGAAAGCAAGTTCTCGGTGGCTCGGGCTGTCTGCAGTGGTCCGGAAGTCTACCCGACGTCTCTGCCCTAGACTGGACAGTGCGCTCGCTCGGATACTTTTCCTGTCGCTTCCCCTTCGTGCTTCTAGCGTGGGTTTCAACTATCGCGCCCTCGATGAATGAATGAAGCAGGAGGGCGACGACAGGGACGAGTAGGCTTGTTGGCCCTCCAAGCGAAAATCTGAGACGCTGTCGATCGGAGGATAACGGCAATTGCGATCTCGGCGACAGCGGAGCGTTACAATGCCAGGATGCTTGTGAATCATGTGGTTGGGCCTCTGCAGCTCTTCTACTTCGCTGCGCGCGCTTTCAGAGGATCGCCACCTTCGTGATGTTGCTGTTCAACGGCTTTAAAATTGTTAAAGACCGCCCCTAAGCGGCTGCAAGATGTGCCACAAGACCAGCCCAAGCGGCCCAATGCCCCCCCCCAGAGGCTCCGATGTCCCCAGAGGCTCCGACGCCCAAATATGCCTCCAGAGAAGCTCGAAGAGGCACCACAGAGAGAATGGGAAACCATGTGGACATCAGACTTTTGTAACTCCGAAGCTCTTCGGCTTCAGATCGCCTCCAGAAAGCTTCAGAGAACCCAGAGAAGGCACAATGACACCCCAAGACAGGCTCAAGAGGGCTTCAAGACTGCTCGAGAGCCCCCCAAGACGGCCCAATACTGCTGCAAGATGACTCCAAGAGGACCTCAAGACCCGCGCAGACGTTCTCAAGATGTTTGAGAGAGCGTGGTCCGCCGCCGCTTTGCTGTGGAAAATTCCCCCCCCCCCCCCCCCCATCTTCCTCCGGAACCTGGGGTCCTCCCCCCCCCCCCCCTCCGAAAAATCTCGCCCCCCTCCTGCCCCCCCCCCCCCCTCTCCTCCCCCGGCAAAACCCCCCCCTCCCCCAAAAACCCCCCCCCCGAAACCCCACTTCCCCCCTCCGGAAAACTGGTTCGGTGCCACCACGGTTCGAACCCCCCTCCTCCCCCCCTCGGAAAACCGAGGGGGGTCACTAACCGGTTCGAACCCCCACCCTCGGTCAACCGGGAAGGGTCACTACGGTTCGAACCCCCGGCGGCCCCCGCCCCCCCCCCACTCGCCGCCGGCAAACGACTCCTGGGGTCCCCACCACCGTCCTCACCACCGCCCTCACCACTGTCCCCACCACTGTCCCACTGTCCCCACTGTCCCCGCCAGTGTCGCACTGTCCCCACTGTTCCCACCACTGTCCCCACTGCCCCCGCCAGTGTCACCACCACTGTCCCCACCACGATCCCGCTCTCCCCACTGTCCCCACTGTCCCCACCACTGTCCCACTGCCCCCACTGACCCCACTACTGTCCCACTGTCCCCACTGTTCCCAGCGCTGTCCCACTGTGATGTCCCACTGTCCCCACTCTTCCCACCATTGTCCCGCTGTCCCCACTGTCCCCACCACTGTCCACGCTGTACCAGTGTCCCACCACCGTCCCCACCACCGACCTTTCCGCTGTCCCCACCACCACCGTCCCCACCACTGTCCCAGTGTCCCCACTGTCCCCACCCCTGTCCCACTGTCCCTCGCCACTGTCACCACCACCACCACCACCATTCTCACCACTGTCCCACCACTGTCCCACCACTGTCCACCGTCCCCACTGTTTCCACTGTTCCCACCACTGTCCCCACTATCCCCACCAGTGCCCCCACCAGTGTCGCATTGTCCCCACTGTCCCCGTCACTGTTCCCACCACGGTCCCACTCTCCCCACTGTCCCCACCACTGTCCCACTGTCCCCACCACTGTCCCACTGTCCCACTGCTGTCCCACTGTGCTGTCCCACTGTCCCCACTGCCCCCACCCCTGCCCCACTTTCACCACTGTCCCCACCACTGTCCCATTGTCCCAACACCGTCCTCACCACCGCCCTCACCACTGTCCCCACCACCACCGTCGCCAACACTGTCCCACTGTCCCAACTATCCCCACCGCTGTCCCACTGTCCCACTGTCCCCTCACCACTGTCCCCACCACCACCGTCCCCACCAGTGTCCCACTGGCCCCAGTCCCCACTGTCCCCACCACTGACTGTCCCACTATCCCCACTCTTCCCACCAGTGTCCCCACTGTCCCCACCAGTGTCGCAGTTCCCACTGTCCCCACCACTGTCCCCACCACTGTCCCACTCTCCCCACTGTCCCCACTGTCTCCACCACTGTCCCACTGTCCCCATTCCCCACCACCATCCCCACCACCGTCCCAACCACTGTCTCCACCACAGTCCCCCATCCGAGGTGCGGGAGGAGGGGGAGTCGTTTGCCGGCGGCGAGGAGGGGGCAGGGGCTTGAACTGGTAGTACCCCCCCCCTTTCCAGGATGGACTGGGGGGGGGGGAGGGGCAGGAACCCCCAGTGAGCCCCCTTCGGTTTTCGAGGGGGGGGGGGACGGGTTGGACCCCCCCGTGACCCCCCCCGTTGTCCGCCTGTGCTGAAGGCACAGGGTAGGACAAGTAGGGCTTCTCTGCCGGCCATCCCCCCCCCTCCTCCTCCCCCTCCCCCTCCTCCTCCTCCTCCTCCTCCTCCTCCTCCTCCTCCTCCTCCTGCTCCTCCTCCTGCTCCTCCTCCTCCTCCTCCTCCTCCTCCTCCTCCTCCTCCTCCTCCCTCCCCCTCCCCTCCTCCTCCTCCTCCTCACTCCTCCTCCTCCTCCTCCTCCTCTCCTCCTCCTCCTCCTCCTCCTCCTCCTCCCCCTCCCCTCCTCCTCCTCCTCCTCCTCCTCCTCCTCCTCTTCAGATATTCCAGCCGCGCCTCTCCAGGAGAGAGACCGGCAGAGTCATCGCGCCTTATACGGGTCCGAGACCATCGATGGGCCCCCAGCGGACCCAGACTGCCCCCCCCAAGAGGCCATGCCTTCGGGAGGGGGGAACGAGAACAAGAGGGACGAGTGAGGAGAATGACAACGGGGGGTACGGACACTGGCCATCGCTCGGACGTCCATTCCCTGTGTTTTTTTCGTTTCCGTGCGTGGTTTTTTCGCCAAGTAATCAAGGATGCTCCTCGATGGTCCTCGCCGAAGGAAAGATGCACACGTCCGAGCGATGCCGAGGACAAGGAGCGGGTGCTCAGGAGCCGCACGGGGCACCGAGCCGGAGCGGTTCTTAGACTCAACCTTGTTCTTGCTTGTGCGCATTGTCTTGTTCGGCGTTTTGACATTGGGCGGAAGAGGGGGGGGAGGGGAGGGGGTCTGGCTGCGGACCTCTGCTGAGTGCGACTGTGTGCAACAGTGCGTCCGATGGGGGAGACTCCATCTGGTCGAAACAGGCGCCCAAAACAGCCAAGATCTACTCCAGGGGGGGAGAGGGGGGCGGGGCGAGGGCCCGCGCCGATCGGCAGAACGATAAATCAGAAGACGGTCGCCTTGCTGCAGGCGGCTGGAAAAATGGCGAGGTTCACCGCAGGCAGCTGGATACGCAGCGCCGACCCCTCTGCCGAAGACCACGATGATGGCACCGATTTGCTTCTTGGCTCGAGGAGAGCACGCGCTGGGAGGCCCAATGGCCGCCTTGGCCCTATTGCCCAGGGGCACGCCGCGCGGCCCCTGCCTTCGCCGCCGCGAGCGCGGGCGCCACCTGGCGACGACGAACGGAAGAGCACGCACGGTGTCAAAAGCAGAGACGGCACACATTTGCCGCGGTGAAGCGCTGACGATTTTGCGCACTCGTTCCGGGTCGCGCACGTGCTGTCAGGCTCGCGGGGTGCAGTGGTCGTTGCGCTTATCCTCTGCTTCTCATTCTCCGTTGTCCTGCCTGGGGGAGGGTCCGTGAAGCCGGGACACACCAGGAACGCGGCGGCGCCAAGGGGGCCAGGGGCCAGGAGAACGGGGGGGGGGGGTCAACATGGGGCCCTCCGGGAGCCCAGCAGTGGTGCCAAGTTCGGCTTGCCCGTTCGCCGCCGTGCCTTCGGCCCGTCGGGGCGCGTCAGAACCTGGGCCGGCACGGGAACGGGAAGAGCCTTTCGGGAACTTGCCCAAGAGGGCTCGTGGCAGCATTCGCTCGTGGGAGCCTTGGTGTGGAGAGCTTTTTCACGTCACCGTTCGCTCTTGGGAGCCTCCACGTTGAGAGTTTTCTTCGTTACTGCTCGCTCTCGGGACCCTGGACGTTCGAAGCTTTTTACGTCACCGACTTGAATGAAAAAGAGGCTTTCCAATCACCTGGTGCTCTTGAGAACCTTGGCGTCGAAGCTGCGTCTGTCATTGGGCCGTCCAGGAGGGGTCCTCTGGGGGCCCTTTTTTGTATATTGGGGCCTTCTGGGGCCCTCTTGGGCCGTCTTGGGGGATTGGCCCGTCTTGGGGCGCTCAAGGGGTCCTCTTCGGCCCTCTTGGAGGCCAACTACGGCACTCTGGGGGCTCTCTTGGGAGCCTCTTGGGGCCCTCTGACGTCGTCTTGGGGCACTCTGCGGCCGTGTTGGTGCCCTCTTGAAAACCTCCTGGGCCGACTTGGGGCAATCTCGGAGGCAATTGGAGCCGTCTTCGGCCGATGTGGGCCGAAAAGGCGAGAACCCCAAAACAATGAAAAACCGCAGGACAATCAATGCGGCTTGCCTCCTCAAGTCGTCTTGGGGATCCTCTTGGGAGCATGTTGAGCCGTCTCTGGGGCCTCTTGGGCGGTCCTGGAAAGCTTGGGCTGTCTTGGGGCCCTCTTTGCAGCCTCTTGGGCCCTCTTTGCAGCCTCCTATGGCCCTCTTGGGCTCTCTTCGGAGCCTCTTGAGGCCCTCTTTGGCCCCTCTTGGGGCTCTCTGTGGCCGTCTTGGGGCCCTCGTAGGCCGCCTGGGGGCCTTCTTGGGAGCCTCCTGGGCCGTCGTGGGCCAACATCGGGGGCCCTGAGAGAGAGGGAGAGAGAGAGAGGGAGAGAGAGAGAGAGAGAGAGAGAGAGAAAAAAAAAAGAGAGCAGTCTTCGGCCGATCTGGGCCCCCCAAAAACGAGAACCCCGAAGAACAATGAAACACCATTGAAAAATCAACGTGTAGTCTCCTCAAGCCGTCTGGGGGTTCCTCTTTGGGAAGCTCTTGGGACGTCCCGGGGACCTTTTGGGCCGTCTTAGGGGGCTTGGGCCGCCTTGGGGCCCTCTCAAGGGCCTCTTGGGGCTTTCTTCGGGGCCTCTGGGGCCCTGTCAGAGCTCTCTTGGGGGCCTCTTGGGTCCCTCTGGGCCTCCCTTGGTGGTCCTGTTGGGCCGTCTTAGGGCTCCCTCCAAGACGCCCAACCAAGACGGCCCTGAAGCGCCCCAGGAGGGCCCCAAGTCGGTTCAGAGAGGCTCCCAAGACGGCTTCCAACTGCGTCAGACGGGCCAGGGACGCCCTGAGACAGCCAAAGAGGCCCCCACCAAGACCCCAAAGGCTCCGAAGAGGCCCAAGGAGGCCCCCAAGAGGCCTCCAATAGGCCCCAGAAAGCTGCCAGGAGGCACGAAGAGGCTCCAATAGGCCTCCTTCTCCCTCCTCCTCACCCTCCTCCTCCCTCTCCTGATCCTCACCCTCATTCTCCCCAAACGTGTTCCCTAAGAGTTTCCAGGACGGCTTGGAGAGTACATAGTCCGATAGATTGGCCAAGCTCTCGCCAACTATTTGGCTACAGAGGCGCTTCCCAAAAACGCAGGGGGCGGTGCTGATTCGCCGGAGGCGTCTTCGAACCGCCACCCCCTGTTGCTTAGCACAGAGGTGCACGGCGTGATTGATTTCAAGGTGTTTTGGTGCTTGTTTCCGATGTGATCTCGGCCCAGCCCGCCGGCCATCCGAAAAGAACAATACAATCGTGTAGATCCACAAACTTTTTTCCAAGACGGCCAGGATGGCCCCCAATACGGTCTCAATACGCCTCCAAGACGGCACAAAACCGGTCCACGATGGCCTCCAGACATCCCGAGGGGCCTCCAAGACGCTCCAGGAGGGCTCCAAGAGGACCTCGCAAAGGCCCAAATCGATGCTCCCAAGGTGTGTCAACTAATTTTAGCGTTCTCGCATTTTTGAGCTTCCGACGCTCCAAGGCGACCCCAGAAGCCCCAAAGATCGCCCCAAGAGGCCCGCAAGACGGCCCAATAGGGTCCCAAGACGGCCCAATAGGCCCCCAAGACGGCCCCCAAATGGCCCCATAGATTTCCAAGACGGCCCAAAAGTGCCCAAAGAAGGACCCACGACTGCCCCGAGAGGGCCCCAAGACGGCCTCCGAAGGCCAAACAATCCTCTAGAGGCCTCCAAGAGGCTTCCAGGAACCCCGAGAGGGCCTCAAGAAGCGTCCTATTCTTCCCCCTCCTCCTCCTTCTCCTCCTCCTCCTCCTCCTCCTTCTCTTCCCTCTCCTCCCCCGGCCTCTTTATCTCCCACACGTTCCCCCCAAGGGGTTCCACAACGGATGGGGAAACACATAATCCAATAGCTTCGCCAGATTTCGGCCCAGAGCCTGGCCGCGTGGGCGATTCCAAAAGGCAGGGCGGCGGTGGCTCGCCGAAGGCGTTTCGATATATGTGCAACACTCCATGTTGGGCGAATATGTATGGTGCCATCTATTTCGTGCAATATGGGTCGTGCAGTCCGCCTGGTGCATCGTATGTGGTGTGTCCAACGTGGTGCAAGCGAAAAGGTACCATATATGCCGTGCGTGTTGTATTTGGTGCAAGCGATGTGCATGAAAAGACCAAACCGAACCGAGAACCGATGACCGTGACCGGACTGAACCGGCCCCAAACAAAGAAAATCAAAAACCGAACCGGACCGAATCGAATTCTTTCAGAACCGAACAGGGGGGAACCGAACCGAACCAGAACCGGAACCGAACCGGAACGGAGCGGCCCCCGAACCGAACCGACGAGAACCGAACCGGACGTCCCAAACCAGCCCGCACAAGACCGCAGGACGACGACCCCCCGTGCCCCAATCACCCCAGAAGAAGACCCTCAGGACCCAGGACCTCGTCGTTGGACCCAAGACGGCTCCAAAATGGCCCACGAGGGCGCCCGGACAGCTGGTCCGGCCCGCCCCCGGTCCGGACCCCCGCGCCCGGACCCTTCCCAATCTGGACCCCCCCGGTCTGGACCGCCCCTGGACCCTCCCGGTCCAGATCCCCCCGCGCCCAGATTTCCCCTGGTCCAGATCCCCCCTGGTCTGGACCCCCACCGGTCCGGATCCGGACCCCCCCTGGTCCGGAGCCCCCCCGGTCCGGACCTCTCCCGGTCTGGACCTCTCCTGGTCCGGACCCACCCTGGTCCCGACGACTGGTCTGGACCCCTCCTGGTCTGGACCCCCCCCCTGGTCCGAGAGAGCGCGTTTCACGGGCGCTTGCCTTGGGAACATTCGGCGGCGCGTTTCGAACCGGGGGGGCCCCCCAAACACTCGGGGGACTTCCCTCCCCCCCCAAACCTTCCCCTCCCGACCCCCCCCGCTCTCCCAAGGAGGGGGGATCCAGGTTTCACCCCCCCCTCGGCGCTGGCGCTGGAGCTGGCGCTGGCGGCGGCACAGCAGCGCCGGCGCTGACGCCGGCGACGGCGGGGACGCAGCGACGATTACTAACCATCGCTACCACCACCACCACTACCACCACCACCACCGCCTCAACCCTCCACCACCACCACAGCAACCACCACCACCACAACCACCACCACCACAACTCACCATCACCAAACCACTACAAAAACCCACCACCACTACCACCACCACCAATTTACCACACCACCACCACCGCCACCACCGCCACCACCACCACCACCACCACCACCACCACCACCACCACCACCACCACAAACCACCACACCACCACCACACCACCACCACCGCCGCCACCACCACCACCACCACCACCACCACCACAACCACCACCTCCGCCACCACCACCACCACAACCCAACGCTCCCCGCCGCCGCCGCCCGCCGCCGCAGGCGCCGCCTTCCACAAACCACCGCCACCACTACAACCCACCACCACCACCACCACCACAAACCACCACCACACCACAACCGCAACCCACCACCACCACAACCCAACGCTCCCCGCCGCCGCCGCCCACCGCCGCAAGCGCCGGCTTGGCCCAGATAAAGAAGTCGTCGTCCCCGCCGCCGCCGCCAGCCGCCGCAGGAGCCAGCCCGAGGAGAGAGGAAACGGAGGGAAGAGGGGGGTGGACCCCCTCCCCTCCGTTACGGGAAGGCCCCGGCACCCTCCATCCAAGGGGAGGGGGTCCGGTTCCAACCCCCCCCCCAAAGCGACCACAGAACGCGCTCTTTCCCCAGTCGGGACCCCTCCCGGTCCGGACTTCCCCCAGTCCGGACCCCCCAGTCCAGACCCCCCCCGGTCCAGACCCTCCCGGTCCAGACCCTTCCCTGGACCCAGGACCTCGTCGTTGGACCCCCATCGTCGTCGTCGGCGGCGGCGGCGGCCCTTTCGAGAGAGGGATGCGGGGGCAACCATCTCGAGGCGGATCCTGCCGTGACCACGGGGGGGCCCAGGAAAACCACAAAGCGCCACCAAGAGCCTCACTCTTTGCTCCTCGCTCCTCCTCCTTTTGTTTTCAAACTGGGTCGTCGCTTACGCAGACGGAGCGCCCAACGTCTCACCCGACCAGTCGGACTGAACCGAACCGGACCGGCCAATCGAACCGAACCGAACCAGTCGGACCGAACCGCGCGAAAACCGGAATCGAACCGAACCGGCGGAAGACCCAAGCCGAACCGGCAGCAGAACCGGACCGAACCGAATCTAGCCGATCCTTTCGTGGATGTTGTGCAGACTCATCAATTGTCAGCTCCACTGCTCGCGCAACTATCCCAATCTTCCACCCGCAATTTGGCTCGCATAACCCATGCGGCGACGATTGCGCTGATTGTTGGGCCACGACTGGCGCATCTCTGTGGCCGCGCTGGCGCGCGCAAACTCGCGCGCAGCGGCCAGCTGGTTTGGCACAACCGATGCGGCTGCGATGGCGCTGACCAATGGCAACGTCCCAGCGAATGTCAAAGGCCGCGTTGGCGCGGGGGCGCTTCAATGCGGGTCGGTGGCTCGGGCGGGCGCGGTATCATGACAACGTCGACAAAATGGGTAACGATGATGATAGTAGCGATGGTAGTGGCGATGATGACGATGACGACGGCAAGGCCACTGATGGCGCCGATGCTTGTAACGCTGATGACGATGAGGATGCCCACGTATCGAAGGTGAAGGTCTTTGAACGATGGTGGTGGCAATCGCGGCGACTGTCGACGACTCTGACGTGATGCGGCGGCACTGATGAGGGTGATGGTGAGGAGGTGCGCGCGCGGGCATCCGAGAACCCTGGCAAATAGTTGATTGAAAACGACGTGTTTTTTTGATTTCTACTCATACGTTTCTGAAGAGCTATATTTGAAGGGGCCCTGGGACACACAAATAAATACACACAGATAAAAGGATTCCCCATATTTTCCCATATTTTCTGGGTTTCTGTCATCCCCCCCACTGCCCATATTTTCCCATATTTTTTGGGGTATCGACGATTCATTTTGTCTGTGTTTTTTTTCCCTCCTGATTTCGACACGCTCGCGTGGCGGCGCGCGCGTGTGGCCCGCCTGGTACTGTTACGTACTGTTGGATACGCGTGCTTGCACTGGGCGCGTGCTGGATCAACGCACTCCCATGACCCTCCTTCGAACAGCACTGGCTCAGGCGGCACCCACCCGTGAACGAGATGCCCACGTCGAGCGGGTCGGGCATCAGACATGGGCACGCACCGTTGCGTAGATCCTTCCCTCCCTGGTCCCCTTTGGAGGGGACGTGGGAGTCCCGGCCCCTCGCCCCGCCCCCCCGTGATGCACCACGTGGTGAGATGAGAGAGCGGGTTCTGGGCGGCACTGACACAATCCTATGGGCGACTTCGGGAACCCCGAACCCCAAAAAACGTTTGCATCTCTTATGGGGGCGCACTCTTTACTGCCGCCGCCTTCCGCCGAGCTTCCACCGACTTTCGCGGCGGAGGCGGCCTCGTCTTACTTCCGCCGACCTTCCGACGCCCTTCCGCCGATGACAACTCCTTCTATCCTCGACGGCAATGCCATTTTTCAAGGGTTTGCTTACGTCTGAAAGTAAGCTGCTTGCAGAAATGTTGTGCTTGTCTGACTTCGACATGTGCGCGAGCGTGATAACATTGTGCCTCTTCTGCCAGGGATCATTGAAACACGAATTCTGCTGTAAACGAATGACCGCGCATGATATTACTTGGCAGGGTTGGGGAGGGGCGATAAACGGTTTGGCCGGGATGGCCTGTTTTCACATGGAACATGACCGATGAGGCAGCATCATGTGTCATTTGCAGTGTTCCAGGGGGGGTGCTGAGAAGCCTGGGGGGGGGGAGAGGGTGGTATAGACTTCATTCTGTATTGGAAAAAAAAAACGTGTGACACAATTCGTATGGCGGATTCCGCAAACCGTGCACCCAAAATTGTTGCCATCTCTTGGGGACGCATTTTTTTCCTTCCGCCACCTTCCGCCGCCCTCCTGCCGGCGGAAAAAAGCAGCCTCGCTCTACTTCCGCCGCCTTCCGCCGCCCTCCGCCGAGGAAGCGACCACCCCTTCCACCCTCGAAGGCGAGAGGCCCTCTCCTGGAAGAAGAGAACACCGCCGCATACAGAAACTTCCGGCGCTCCGCGCGGACTTCTTGGATCTGCGCCGGACCCGAGCCGGCGGCGGAGCGGCGGCGGCAGGAAGGCGAGCGCGGTCCAGCCGCACGGTGAGGATGCGCGGTGAGCAGAGGGCAGAAGATCCACCCCCATCGTACAGGGGGACTCGACTGGACAGGACGCGCGAGAGGACACGAGACCCCTCCGAGGGCCATACTGCCGCGGGCATGTGGAAGACATGCATCACGAGGCACAGGACACAAGAATACCCTTGATTCGGCAGGGTCGACCTGCTCATCCGGGCCGACTGTAGAGGGCAGAACATCCACCCCGTCAGAATCACCCCGACAAGCGAAGCCGTGTAGTAAACGCAACCAAGGAAGGAGTCGAACAGAGCAAGGCTTTTAGTAGACGCCCAGGGCCGTTTAGTAAACGCCAGTTGTCCGGTCTGGGTGGTTTCTCCTCCCTTGAGGAAGGGTGCAAGGGCCTTGGACGGCCATGATCACGTTTTTCGAACGAGGTTGGCTGGCGAGAGTCGACAAGGGTGGGCCGAAGGGGGCAGGGGTGCGAGGGTAGCCTCGGCAAGACGCTCGTCCTTACGAGTTGGGTTGACTGTAACAACCCTCGATGCAATCATTGCTTTCCAGGAAAAAACTGTAGAGCAGGCGCCTGCGGGGAGCTTGTGTTCCGAAGTGCTTCTCGAACCCAGGGAGGCCCCGCAATCAGATCCGCGTCTGCGGTGATGCTGGAATTATGATTTCTCGTGCTTTTGGAGTGTTCCCCATGCTCGTTCACCGACTCCCAAGACACATTGATACATGATACATGATATCAAGCATCTGTTGGCGTCTGTGCGGTGTTTCGCCTCCCGACCTTGGCCAGCACGCTACCGATAGCACCGCCCTCCGTCAACGGCGGAGCCCGGGTCGGCGTGGCTGTCTTGCGCTCCGAGTCCATGATGGCCGCCAGCTGCATCGCCAGCGACTTGTCAGCGTCGTGGTGGAAGTACAGCTGCTTGATCGCGGGGGAGTCCTTCGCGAAGTTGCAGATCGCGTCCAGCTCCTGCTCTGGGGACCAGTTGCGGCGGCGCTCGTGCATATTGAGGAGTCCCAGCAGGAACTCCTCGTTCTCCACCAACTGCTTGCGCTCACTGGCCTCCACCTGGTCGGCGAAAGGATCATCCTGCCGGGCCGCCTCCTTTGGGGGACTCTTCGTCTGGGCCACCGGTGCCTCCGCGGCCTCCTTGTCCAGCGAGGCACGGGCGGCCGCCTTGCAGTGGTGCACGAAATCCTTCTCGCTGGCGTTCACCTTGGCCTCCGTGGCCTTCTTGACCGCAAACTGCGCCACGGCCGCCGCGATCTGCGCCCGCAGGTCGTCTCCCTCAGTGTCCGATGCGGCCGCGCCTGCATCGACGTCGCTGCCCGCGTCGTCGTCCTGTACCGTTGGAACCGCAGACGCAGCCGCGGACGTCGGCGTCGCGTTGCGGCCGAGCCGGCGGCAATCGGCAACCACCGCGGCGCTCAACAAAAGGACGACGGCGCGCCCGGCCAGCATCGCTGCCGGGCTGCACCGTGTCCGCTACAGTATTCGCAGGGGCGTCTCGCGGGCAGAGTCTCGAGCCAAGGTGGCAGCGACGCCGACAACGACTGAGGCGCTCGTCGTTGTCGTTACGATGACGACGATCGTGGTGACGCTGTAGGAGTTAACGTTGACGACCACGACCACGCAGGTGCCGACAACGCCTGCGACGACGATGACGACGACGACGGCGAATGCGATAGCGAAGGCGGCGAATGCGACAGCGACGGCGACGACGGCGACAACTACGGCGGCGACGGCCACGACTTGAGCGCGATTCCTCAGTAGAATCCCAATGCTGGAGCGCAGCCAAGTTCGGGAGCGCCTTCGCTGAATAAGAGCGAGGCGCTGGGACGACACTCAGTTTAGGCCTTAAGAGCTATACCGCGGAGGGGAAACGGGGAGGGGAAGGCGCGGCGAATGGGGGTGCCAACATTGTACTCACACCTTTTCCTCAAAAGGGCTACGGACCTAGCAAGGAGCAAATCGTGAAGATCGAATCCGAGATACCCCGATACATCCACATACGCATCAAATTTCCGCCAGCAGTGATCCCCCAATATTCCACTGAGTGTAGAATCTCCGAGAACCTCCTAGAGCCACAAAGCAAATACAGCCGGCTAAAGTATTCACCTCCTTAACCCTCTCACTCCTCCCTCTCGACCACTCATTCCTCTTCCTCCTCCTCCTCCTCCTATCCCTCCACCTTTTCCACCGCCGCCTCGAACATGTGCCACAACCCGCATGAAGCCAGCAACCCCCGTCAAACCCTCTGAGACCCAATAGAAACGCAGAAACTAACACCTCCGTCCCCGCTCATGATCCCGCCTTCTCCTCTCCCAGAACCCCCGAGAGCACTGGAGATTCCCCCTTGGACTTCCCTGAACGTCCAGATCAGCATAGGGTGAGAACTCGAATGGTCCCTCTCCCCCCTCCTCCCTGACGGCCGATGTGTGGAGCGACCTTTGGCTTGGCAACTGTCCACTAGAATGACGGTCTCGACCCTAAGGCACGCTTCCTGCTGGCCAGGATGTCCGACATCATGCTTGCTCCGCCCCGAACCTATATTGGCGATCCCATACGCTGAGGCGTGGCAGGATGTCAACGGCTGTGTTGCAGAGTTTCTGGGCGCCTTGCTTGGGTGCTCCAAGAGGCTCCCACGGCTCCCCCTGGGCGCTTCGCCTTGGTGCTCTGCTTTGACCAGACGCTCCAAGAGGCCCCCTGGGCGCCTCGCCCGAGCATCGCTGGTTGAGTTACGCAAAGCGTCTAGCATTTCCGTATTCATCCGAGGCTCTCCCCCCCTCCGCTCGAATTTGAGGAGGGGGGGGGGAGGAGGAGGAGGAGGAGGCCCTAAAAGAATCCTTTAGGGCCGCGCCTTTTGGAGACAGCAGGGGCCCGAAAGGGGCCCTAAAGAGCCCCTTCAGGGCCCTTGTCTTCACCCCCCATCCAGGCCCCCCCCCTTACTGCCCGCTTGAATTCCTTTCCCTATACATAACTTCTCCCTGATGCACCAAGAAACAATTCTTTAGGGCGGGCCGGGCGTTTCGCCTGAAATTTCCTCACCATTTATGACTCTGAAGCTTAGAAATTGGCAGCCGTTTCACAGATAGAGGGCGGGTGGTTTTCAAAATGTGGCTCTCGCTTTTGCGCGGTGCACATTCGTTTTACAACTTGGCAAAAAGTTTCACGGATTGAGGGCGGGTGGTTTTCAAATGTGGCTCTCGCCTAAGCGCGGCGCACATTCGCTTAAAACATTTGCAGGGGTTTCACGGATTGAGGGAGGGTGGTGTTCAAAATGTGGCTCTCGCCTCAGCGCGGCGCACATTCGTTTAAACGTGTGCAAGGGTTTCACGGATTGAGGGTGGGTGGTTTTGAAAATGTGGCTCTCTTCTGTGCGCGGCGCATATTTATATACATATATATTTTAAAAAAAAAAACATGTGCAAGGGTTTGACGGATTGAGGGGCGGGTCGTTTTCAAATGCGGCTCTCGCCTTAGCGCGGTGCACATTCCTTTTAAACATTTGCAAGATTTTCACGGGTTGGGGGCGGTTCCTTTTCAAAATGTGGCTCTCGCCTCAGCTCGGCGCACTACTCCTTACACACATTGCACGAGTTTCACGGATTGAGGGCGGGTGGTTTTCAAAATGTGGCTCTCGCCTTAGCGCGGCGCACTTTCGTTTTAACAATTTGCAAGAATTTCACGGATTCCCATCTTCAACGTACCAGAAACAATGTTTTGGAAGGGTTCAGGATTTTGCGGGTGCAACAATTACGTAGGTTCTCTGTGTTGAAGTCCTAGGAATGGCGTTCTGGCACGATTCAGGATCGTCAAAATTCAACAGGCAGGCTGATCCGTGGCGTTGGAATCCCGAGAACAATGTGTTGGCATGCTTCAGGGTCTTCAAACGGGTGTCTTCCAACGAAGCAGTTCCAACAATGGAAATGAACCGTTGTAGGGGCCTATGAAGAGGGAGCTTGGAGGGAGGGTTTACCCCAACATCGTTGATGACTCTTGGACTTACACTGGTACTCCTCCTCCTCCTCCTCCTCTTCCCGCTCGTCCTGTCCTCGTCCTCCTCGTCCTCCCCCCCCCGCATACCCCATTGGGGAGAGCTGTCCTGCATCCTCGCTGCCGGCGCAGTCGTAACGCGCACCTGGGGTAGCGCGAAGCAGATACGGCTGGTCCTCCAGCGCCTCCTCCGCTGACTACCTGCCAAACCATCCCAACCCAACCCGAAGGCTCACTGGGAATGGAGGGCAACTTGGGGTCTTCGGGTTGGGTTGGGAGTGGCTTGCTGGGTAGCAGTCCGCCCCACCAGGCAATCGGCTCGCTGCTCGAATCTCCTTAACCTGAAGCCAATTTAAGAAGTCATCTCCACAACATCCGTCGTCCCCCTAAGCCGCCGACCTCGTTCTCCCCATCTCCCTCCTCCCTCGTCCGACGCGCCCTCCCTCGTCCCTCCTTCCTTCTTTCGCATCCCTGGAGCTCGCAGCGCTGGGCCTGGTCTGGTCACACACAAGGATGCAGAGTCTAGCATCAATTCGTCTTGCTGAGCATGGGTTGTGGGTTTGTCGTCCCTTCGCCCCGCTTCGGCTCCCTTCTCCAGCCCCGTCCACTGGTTTCATCCTTCGCCCCCCGGCGCTTGGCCAGCCGCCGGTAAATCCCACCACCCGTCTGGGCTTCGGTGGTCTAGCGAGTTAGTTTTTTTCATTCGGGGAAAAGTTTACCGCACCTTTGCCCTTACCCCCTCTCCCTTGGTTTGGAAGGAGGGGCCGCGAGGGGTTAGAGCGTCCCAGATGGCCCAAGATGGCCTGCACTTCATGGACGTATTGAAAATATCGATCGATATCGATGTGCAGAGCCGTAGCTGCACAATGCAACGAGTCTGGCACCAATGCGATCGATCGGCATTGTTCCCCCCCCCCTCGTTGACTCGCACACGCGCGACATGGTTCCTCAGAGATGCCAAGTGCCTGTGCTCGAGTCCCGTTGGCAATCCCACCAGCCGAGTGGCCACGAAAATAATCACGCGACCAGATTCAGGTCGGGCACGTCCTCCGACAATCAATTCGCCGGCCCAACGGGCCAGGGCGTGCTAAGATCTCCGGTACCTGGTTAACCGTATTTCTAGTTCGCGCGCGCGGGGCGGCCCCTGGGGGTCCCCGGACGAAAAGTACCCCGGCAAGGTCCCGGCAAGTCCCCGGCAAGGTCCCGGCAAGGTCGGGTCAGAGATGCCGGAGTTCTGTTTCGGAGTCCAAGAGGGCTCCAGATCGGTCCAAGAGGGCCCCGAGAAGCTTTCTAGACGGTCCAAGAGAGGGCCGAGACGGCCAAAGATCGCCCGAAGACGCCCCAGATGGCCCCAAGACAGCCCAAGAGGCCTCCAAGACGCTCCAAGGGCCTTCCAAGAGGCCTCCGAAGAGGGCCCCAAGTTGCCAAAATCGTTGATTTTCATTGGTTTTTTCGATGTTTTTTTGCGTTCTGGCCTTTTCGCTTCCGGACGCTCCAAGAGGGCCCAAGAGGCCTTCAAGACTGCTCCAAGACGGCCCACGAGGCTCCCAAGACGGCCCCGGAGCGGCCCAAGAGCGCCCCCCAGACGGCCCAAGTGCCGCCCAAGGCGGACCAAGAGGCCCCAAGACGGGCCCAAGAGGGGCTCAAGAAGGGAACCGAGAACTGAAAAATCGAGCCCTCCGCCCCAGAAGGCGCCCAGGACCCCGAAAGAGGCCCCAAGAGACTCTCCAAGACACCCCCAAGACGCCCCAATAAGCTCCCGTGAGGCCCCAAGAGGACCAACAACGTCAGGCCCCAGGCCCCAAGAGGACCAACAAATACCGCCAAGAGCCCGCCGAAAGCCCCCCAAGAGACCGTCACGAGAGCTCAGGAGGCCCCCTGGAGGCCTCCCGAGTTCTCCAAGAGGCCTAAAAAGAGGCGCCAAGAGGCCCCAAACGGCCCCAACGAGGCTCCAAGAGGCCACGAACGCGCAAGCAAACGCCTGCGATGGCACAATACGGGCCGGCGGAATGAGCGAAGCGATTAAATAATAATATCAGCATCGTTCCCAGACTGTTTTTGACTATGTTTGAATATTCCTCCTATCGAGGGACATGCCCGACTTAAGACCAGATCAGGTCCGCCGTCTGCCGGTGTCGTGCGCCCGGGCCGGCCGAGTGGGCACCGCTTGGCGCAGGAACGCCCCGGGCTGGGACCACCTCCATGAGGGGCCACGACAGGGAGTGGTGGGCTTGTTTTCCACCACCACCACCACCATAAGTGGGAGGGGGAGGAGGTCCTCCTCCTCCTCCTCCTCCTCCTCCTCCTCCACCTCCTTCCCCCCTCCAACTTCTGGTGGTGGTGGTGGAAAACGAGCCCTGGCCCAGGGGGCGACGCATCGACCTGTAATCGACGCTGCCTCGCTGAGAGATCGGCGATGGGCCCTCGAGGGCGACTCCGCAGGCTCTCTCTTTGGCGGCGTGGGCCGTCGGTCCCTTAACTCGGCGATGAGTGGGCGACTGGGGGTCCGTGCATCCCCTCCGGAGCCCGTCGCCCCCCCTGACACTGGCCAGGGCTGGACCTGAACGTCGTTATTCGTTGTTCTTTCGTTTGTTTTTCGTCTCGCTCTGCCTGTTTTCCTGCACCTCCCTGCCAAAAGCAAAAGCAGAACGCAGTTGAAGCCCAGCAGAACAACGTTTAGGTCCAGCCCTGCCCCGACATTGCCTGAGCGTGGGGGAAGCGGGTCCTGAGGGAAACGGGTCCTGTACCCTGGGGCCTTCCCCCAGGACGACTTCTTCATCCCGAACCGTTTTCTGCCCGTCCCGGGGCCCGTGGAAGGCCCTGCGAGAGCCCGGAAACGGCAAAAAAACCCTCAGGACCCGCGTCCCACATTAGAACATGGAGAAATACCATAAACGTAGACTTTTGGCGCTCCACGCGGATTTCTTGGATCCGCGCCAAACCTCCCTCCCTGGCGCGCGGAGCGCGCTGGGGGCGGCGCCGGAGGCGCCGCGGGGGCCCCGCGCGGGTCCAAGAAATCCGCGCGGAGCGCTCAAAGGTTCTGTTTATGGCGTTGTTTCTTCTTCGGCCCATGAAGAATGGCCCCCCGCCGGCCGCGTCGGAGCACCTCCAGGTCGAAGCTGTCGCAGCCGCTGCGGCCGCTCCCCGGGCCGCCGCGCAGCAGCCAGAGGCGGTAGGGCACGTCGGCGGGCAGCAGGTGCTGCAGGATCTGGCCTCGGGAAGGGGAAGGCGAAGCGAATCGAAGGCGCGGGAGTCGTGCACCGAGCGACGAACAAAAAACAGGGTCGATTTCGCCGACATTCGCGCGCAAGCTGCCCGCGTAAAGGGCGCGCGTGAGCGCCCTCGTCCTCACTGTGGCGTGCCGCGCTGGCGGCCCGCCTAAGCCGCCGCGTAAGGTCGCCGCGTAAGGCTAAGCGAAGCGAAGCGAAGGCGCGGGCACACAGGTGAGCGACGATCAGAAACGGGTCTCACGCGAGATGGTACGGCGACCTTACGCGGCGGCTTGCGTGGGCGGCCAGCGCGGCACGCCACAGTGAGGACGAGGGCGCTCACGCGCGCCCTTTACGCGGGGAGCATACGCGCGAATGTCGGCGAAAACGGCCCCGTTTTCTTCCGTCGCTCCGGTGTGCCCGTGCCCACATTGGGCAGGGCGCATGCGGCCGTGGCCTCACATCGTGTGCGAATATGGCTTGTGGACGGCATGCTTCAGGAACCAGCGCACGCAGAAGGCAAAGAACAATATACGGATGAACCTCAGACATCCGACGCCATGCTTTCGTTCGCAACGTGGCTACCCATAGGTCTGGACGCCTTACTGGGAACAGGCTTTCCGTCCGGGAGAGGTGGAGGGCGATGTCAGTCGGAGGAGCTCGGGAGTCCAGGTCTCCCGAGGGGATTGCCGGGGCCTCCGAGGGCCTGGCGGACCTTTTCGGATGAGGATGAGGATGATGAGGAGGAGGAGGGGGAGGAGGATGAGGGGGGGAGGGGGAATCATGTGAAGATGAGGAGTACCGCGGATAAGTGAGGAATGCGAAGAAGTAGAACAGGAATATGGGGGAATCTGTGGACACAGGGCATGCGAGTGAATACCGTGGAAGAGGAACAGCATGCCGAGGGCGAGTAGAGATGATGAGCAGTAAACGCAGCAAAGGCCACATATGTGCTGAGCTCCAGAATTCGGACTGGGGCTCAGCGGTTTTCCTCGGCCGCTGTATGCGTCCTCCTCCTCCCCCCTCCTCTCCTCCCCTCCCCCTCCCGCCTCTCTCCCTCCTTGTGCCCTCATCGGATATCCCAGACCCTTTAGAAACTGGCGACGACCTCCTACACACCCCGAGCCCTCCTGTAGAAGCTCTCCAACTTTCCCCCCCCCGAGCCAGGCTCCTCCTCCTCCTCCGCCGCCTTCCTGGTCGTCGATCGCAGTGAAACGGAGAGTCCCCCCCAGGAAATCTGTCTCGGTTTCGTGTCGTGAGTGCGGGTGAGGCGAACCTGTGTGGGCGGGTGGGAGGACTGATCCCGTCCTGGCCGGGACGAAACCCGGCTCAATGTCTCTCTTCCCCCCAGTTGGCCGGCGGGGCCGTGGCCACGGGGGGTCCCGCCAGCTTCTCCTCCACCAATTATCCTCCTCCCTTCTATTTCATCCTTTCCTTTTTCTCTCCTCCTCCTCCTCCTCCTCTTCTTTCTCCTCCCGATTCCTCCTCCTCGCGTCCCTCCTCTCCTCCTCCTCCTCCTCCTCCTCCTCCTCCTCCGGCAGATCCGCGACCCAGGCACGAGCCCCCCTTTAGGGCCAGTGACCACCTGGGCCAGGCGTGTCGGCCGACAGTCCCACGAGGATGAATTGTACAACATGCGAGGCCCCCGCCTTCGGCGAGGGGCCTCCCAAGTCGGGCGGGTTGAGCGATTCCCAGATCACGGGGGACGGATAGGACAGCACCGAGGACACATGTCCGCAGCGGGAGGGCCTTGACCGCCGAACTGAAATCAAAACTGAAGGGTGCCTCCATCCGGAGGACTTTTGTTGGCGCTGCCGAGAGGGGCGATCTCCCTCAGCAGGCCCGCGACAGGAGCACACCTTCAGGGCTGTGCCTCACGCGCCGCACAGCAAGGCAGCAAGTTGATAGCGGATGGGCCGGCACGCCCAAAAGCTGTATGGGGAATGGGCTCCGCAAGCGAGCACTAGCCAAGGAGGGGGGAGAGAGGAGGGACGAGGAGACGGGGACGGGGGGCGGGGGGCGGGCGTCGTGTCGTCGAGCGTTGCTGCCTCTGCAGGTCCTCCTCACCCTCAGCCCCTCTACCACTGCTCTTCCTCTTCTGCACTCACCGGCCTGGGACTGGCCCTGCCACCGCCACCTCCTCGCCCTCAGCGAGTTCCTCCTCACCCTCTGCCTCCGCCTCCTCCTCCACCTCCTCCACCTCCTCCTCCGACACCTCCTGCTGCAGACTGTACTCAGCGCCCGCCCCCGACGACAGGGGGCTTGTGGGCGCTGAGTAACTGTTCAGCCACCGCCGTTTGCAGAACAGCACTGAGCTCTTGCCAGAAAGCGACCGCATCGGCAGACGCTCCTGCCTCTCCGTCAGACGCTCCTCCTCTTCTTTCTCCTCCCGATTCCTCCTCCTCGCGTCCCTCCTCTCCCTCCTCCTCCTCCTCCTCCTCCTCCCCCTCCTCCTCCTCCTCCCTCCTCCTCCTCCTCTCTCCTCTCTCTCCTCTCCTCCCTCCTCCTCCTCCTCCTCGTGCTCCATCCTCCGCCTATTCCTCCTCTCCCTCCCCCTCCCCCTCCCACGACACACATGTTGCTATCTGTATACGTCCTGCATGGACCCCCCGCCCGGAGAGCTCACGACCCTCCCTGGGAAATCCCAGGACCTCTTTCGGAGGGCCCGCCCAGAGCCCCGGAGGACCTCTTTCCGACGGCCCCCCGGGCCTCCTCGGCTGGCCGCCCGCCCTCTTCTGGACGCCGCGAGGGCCCCAAAGGCCATGCAGCGACTGCCAAGATGGACAGCAGAGCCCGAGGACGGCTTCCAGACGGCCCCACGACGGCCACAACACGACCCAACAGGCTCCCAAGAAGGCCCGAGGAGACTCCCCAGAGGGCGGCCACTGCAAGGTTTTGAAAGGATGCAGTTTTTTTCCCAATTGAAGCTTCGTTTGGTCCACGACGAACCCAGGGGTTTCCTCGATCGCCCCCAGACGTCTGAAGAAACGTCCTAGACGGACTGGAGACTGCCCGAGAACGCCCCCTGACGCCCAAAAGTGCCCCTAAGACGGCTTCAAGGGAACCCCACAAACGCCCAAGGGAGGTCTCAAAATGGCCCCAGAGAACCGCAAGACGGCCCAGGATGGCCTTAGGACAATGCACGCGGCACCCCGGACCGCTTCCAACAAGGCAGTACGTCCTCATACTGCTGCTCGTCGTCCTCTTCCTCCTCTTCCTCCTCCTCCTCCTCCTCCTCCTCCATTTCATCCCCCTCCTCCTTCCTCCTCTTCTTCTTCTTCTTCTTCCTCCTCCCTCCTCCTCCTCCTCCTCCTCCTCATCATCATCATCTTCCTCCTCCTCCTCCTCACTCATCTTCTTTTTTGTTCTCATTATTCATATGATTTTCATATTATTTTCTGATTGTTCTTATGCTTCTTCCTTCTCCTCCTCCTGCTCCTCATCGTCGTCGTCGTCGTCTTCCTCCTCCTTCTCCTCCTCTTCCTCCTCCTCCTCCTTACCTTCTTCCCTTTCCAGCGTCGCTGCGTTGCACTCTCATCTTCGCGACGGCCCCCAAAACGCCCCAACGGGCTTCACGTCGGCACCCAAGGGAACACCGCGAAAGCCCAGAGAACCACAGGATGGCCCAAGGTAGCCCCGGGCGACCCCTCCCCTCCCCCTGGCTTGCGCCCGTCCTCGCACCCCTCCGTTCCTCCCTCTCCTGCCCCCTCCTTTCCCCGTTCGCACCTCCTCGTCCTCCTGCTCCTCGTTCTCGCCCTCCCCTCATCAGCTTCCCTTCTTCGCATCCTCCTCCTCCTCCTTTTCCTCCTCGTCCTCCTCTTCCTCCTCCTCCTCCTCCTCCTCCTCCTCCTCTGCCTCCTCCTCCTCGTCCTTTTCCGACCTCCCTGCGCTGCACTATCATCTTCGACGGGCAACGGCAAGTTCGGAGACGCCGGAGAAACGAGGGAGGGCCAGACGGGCCAAACGGCCAGAGGGCAGAGAAGGCACAGTGGGAGGACCACTGAGGCGCTTCCCTTCGGCAGGCGCCCCACTCATCCTCCATCGTCTTCGTCGTCGTCCACAGGCGCTCTGGCTCCCCTCACCCGCCCTGCCGCGTTCGCCAATTCACGCCCTCTTCTCTCCCTCGCGGCGTGCCCTGCTTTTGTGCCTTTGCGGGTTGCCCGCGCAGTCCGACATCCACCCTCCGGACAGATCTGGACTTCCTCTCACGGTCAATCACGCCCACCCCTCTCGCAATATACCTTCGCTTGTGCCCCCTCCATCTCGTGACGAATACCCCGCTCACGGTTGCCCCCCCCTGATCATCACCATGACACACTCCCTCCCAGTATTGCTGACAGCCACTTCATGGTCATACTTCGAGCCCCAGGCCACGGTCATGCCACCTCCATCAAGGTCATGACTGGTACTCCCAAATCATGACCTTTACCCCCTCTCGCGGTAATCTCATTGGTTTTGCAGATTTTTGCTCCTGGTCATCGGTTTCGAAGCGCCCCGCCATGCTATGACCTTCGCCCTGCAGGCGGTCATAGCGTACACAACCTCGGCGTCATAACCGTCACCCCAGTTGGGGTCAGGAAGTCATGACCTTCACCCCCGTCGCAATCATGCCCTCCCCCCGAAGCGCGAACATGCTTCTAGGTCCCATGTGGCCCCTGACCCGCACCCGGCTGCTGGTCATTACCCTTCCACTCCGATGGTCCTTCGGCAGTCCCCCAACAATGCCTGGACGCAGGACCACTACTTGAGGCGAAGCGACGCGAGGCCTCAAGTCTTGAACATGCGTATACAACTCGGTTTACATTTACATATAATATCCATATTGCCAGAGAGATATGGAAACATCGCGATACAGAGAGAAAGAGAGATAGAGAGAGAGACATAACGCTTAACGATTTAAGTGATTGTGATGTGTGCATACGTGCCAATACATCTGCATATCTATACAAAGAGAGAGATGTATTCCAGAAAGAGAGCCAACATAACTAAGGGGAGGGATGTCGAGAGAGAGCGAGAGGGAGAGATTAACAAAAAGACAAAGACAATGAGACATCAAACGCAGCCGGCCGAAGACCCGTGCCCACCGAGGACCCGGCCATTGGTGGCGGGCGTGCCTCCCCAGCACCTGCGGGGAGCACGGGGCGGGAGACATCCACGCAGACGCCCGGCGCCGCAAGGAGGCGCGCTCTTGCTCACAGTCGGGGCGTGGACCCCAGGAGCCATGCGCAAGGAACGAGGCCCCCCCTTCTTCCAGAAGTCAAGCTTCGACCTCCCATCGAGGGCGTGAGCAAAACCTGAGGCGAGCTGCAAAACAGCCAAGGAACACCGAGCCCCTCCCAAGCGAGAAGGGCTTCTTCTTAGGCGCCCCGGCTGCACGGCGTCGCCGCCCCCGGGGGGGCAGCCCTCTTGGCCCTTTCGGGGGGGGGGCGAGCAGGCCGCGGCCGTGGCCCCGAGAGCATGCGGTCGAGAGCTCCCGGGCGGGCCGACGCCGTGGTGTGACCACAGCGGCAGTGCTCTGTCAGAGCGCGGCGGCCAAATGCCTGGAACCGACGGAGAGGGTCGAGGTGCCCGCGGCCACGGGACTTGTCCCCGGGGGGGGGCTCCAAGGGCCAGTCGGCACGCGCAGGAGAGAGACCCTCGGGCAGGAGTGACCTTTGGTGCGCGGCTGCCGGGCGCCGCGGGGATGCCGAGGCCCAGCGTGCAGGCGGGCTGGCGCTGGGGGACCCCTGTGGGCCCGCACCAGGTGTCAGCCCAGCGAAAGGTCACGCTCCTGCGTAGCCGAGCCAGGGGGCGACGCCAACTATGCACCCACGCCGATGCTGGTCAGGTGCCACGTGGGCCCAGGGCGAGTGTAGGTGTAGATGCCCTCCTGGCCTGGCCAAGAGGGCGTATACACCAATCCTAGTCCCAAGACTGGCCCGGCCAGAGTCGATGTGGGTGTATTGCCCCCCCCCACCCCGAAGGGCACTGAGGGGACTCTGTGGGGGCCACTCACGCGAGCGCGTGCTGTCCATGTTTCGAGTGCGAGGGCAAGATGATGATGATGATGAGGAGGAGGAGGAGAAGGAGGAGGAAGACCAGTGGAAACCGAAGAGTTATCAACGATGTTGGAATAAACCCTCCGTCCAAACTCCCTCTTCATAGGCCCACAACGGTTAATTTCCACTGAGGGAAGCGCCTCGTTGGAATACAACCGTTTGAAGACCCTGAAGCATGCCAAAACATTGTTCTCTGGATTCCAACGCAACTGATCAACCTGACTGTTGCGACTTGACGATCTTGAACCGTGCCGGAACACCATTCCTGAGACTTCAACACAACGAATCAACGTAATTATCTGTTGCACTATCATAACCCCGAATTTTTCCAACACATCATTCCTGGTACGCTGACCGTGGGAATCCGTGATATTCTTACAATGTGCGCGGCGCTAAAGCGATAATCACATTTAAAAAAGGAGCCGCCATCGATCCGTGAAGCTCTTGCAAATCTATAAAGCGAATATGCGCGGCGCTAAAGTGATAACCACGTCTTGAAAACGACCCGCCCTCAATCTGCGAAGCTCTTGCAACTTTTAAAACGAATGTACGCGGTGCTAAGGCTAGAGCCACATTGTGAAACCTTCCGCCCTCAATCCCTAAAACTCGTGCAAAGACACACATTGAAAACGACCCGCCGTTCATTAGTGAAGCTGTTGTCATTTTTTAAGCTGCAGGGTCATACATGCCGAGGGAATCTCAAGCGAAATGCCCAGCCCGCTCTAAAAACTGGCCTCGGGGTGCGACAGGGAGAAGTTAGGTATAAAGAAGAATAATGGGGGAGGAGGGGGGAGGACCTCCTCCTCCTCCTCCTTCCTCTTCTGATTCTTTTTGGTCCGTCTTCTTCTTCTTCTTCTTCTTCTTCTTCTCTTTCCTCCTCCTCCTCCTCCTCCCCACTCTCTTCCCACTTCTCCGAGGGCAGGGGGGAGGCTAGGGGGAGGAGGGGCGCTGGAGGCGGGGGGGGAAGGCATGTCGATGGAGCGCCCGCCGAGAAAGTCAAGGCGTGCCAATCGCACCCGCAGCCGCTCGCTCCGCCGGCGCGCACAACATCTGGTGCGGCCGGCTGCCAAAAATCCGCCCTCCACGTTTCCTCCTCCTCTCCTCCTCCTCCCCTCTCCCCCCCTCCTCCTCCTTCTCCTCCTCCTCCTCTCCCCTCCTCCTCCTCCTCCTCCTCCTCCTCCTCCTCCTCCTCCTCCTCCTCCTCCCCTCTGCGGGCCTCCTCGGCAGCATGAGCGCCGCCTCCGCCCCGACCTATACATTTCGGCGCGGCGCTGGTCGAATAGAGGATCGACTGCAGAATCGGTTTGCCCCAGAATTGATCTTCCCGTCGACCCCACGAAAAAGTACAGATAGTGTCCAGTAGATCTAGCGGAACAGTATGTTGTTCCCGTCCTACTTCAGGACCGCATCCCAGAAACAATTTCGAGCACCCAGAAAAGTGTCACAAGAATGTCGAAACAGTGTCGGGCGAGTGTCTCCCAGGGCCCGGCACGTGAAAACCCTTGAGTTTCGGCACTTTTTTGGGCGCTCGAAATTCCTCCTGGTGATCAAGGCTAAAGTA